ATGAAATATTGTAATATTTTGAAATATGGAAATGTTTTGAAATATTGAAATGTTTTAAAATATTGAAATGTTAACATTTTAACAATAAAACATTTTAACAATCAATATCTTTATGGTATTATTTAGTAGATTAATACTAATATAGTCATTGACATAATAAGGTGGACAGTGGGATTTATTTAAACCCCATCCTTCTCAACCTTCCATCCAAGGATTTGAAAAAAAGAAAGACAAATTATAAATGCAAAATAGGTAAATAAAATTACAACAAAATTAATTTAAATATATATTTTTTTTTGTAACCAACTGCTTATATTCTCCAAATCTAAATCAGATATGTTGTATGTACGACTTAATATTGTTGTGGGTGTAGAAATTAAAGCACCTTTAAAGCACCATTAAAGCATTAAAACACTCATAATTTCTCATTGGCCAAGCGAAGTTTTTACATGGTCCATGTAGATGCATGAATCTGACTTTTATATCACGCTCACTTACATCTTCAGCAATCCCTAACCACTAAAACCTGTCAAAAAATGTGCAATATAATCCATTTTTTAATGTTTAATGAAATCTCTTTATTATGTTTGCTTTTTGGAATGATATCAATTATTTCAATACATGTATCAATACTTGTTTTTTTATAACTTAAAGTGTTTGAAGCATTTGGAATAAAATGATGATACGCCCTTGTGCCAGGAACTGTTCTTCCACCTAAATATCTTTTTTCTAATTGTGCTCGTGTTTGGTCGATTTTATCTTTAGAAAATAATTTAAAACAAATTCCATTTATCTTGGCTTTACAAAAGGAGTACATTAAATTAACATCTAAAATCTGCCCAGTAGTTATTTGTTTTAGACTTTCTTGACATTGGCTACATTGATGCAACATACATTCTGCATTTTCAAGCAAACAAACAACCAATGCCATGAAATCTTTATAACTTTTATTCCACCTAATGGCATCAATAAGAAATTTTGTATTTTTGTGATGTTTGCATACATTATGAGTCCCTGACGCATTAGTTGTAATACACCATTTAGGTTTAAGAGTACAAAACTTTGACAAACTGACTTTGACGTTAGGGTAGTCTTTTTTAAATGCAACATGTAATTCATTAAGATTGAGTAGCAATAATCTTTTTTGAACATGTGGATTTTTCTTAACACTTACAAAATCTTTTTTTCCTGGCATCATTCTCAAAAATTCATCACTTTAATAAAAGTTAATCACTAAATTAACTGTTTCTGGTGAATGTGGGTTTCCAGTTTTTTTTCTTCAGGCAATGATAGAATTTCATGCTGATTTTTAACTTTTCTTGCAGTTCGAACAAGATACTCAAACACTTTAAAGTGTAATCGAGTCTTGAGGGTGCTCTTTTTGGATTCTGCAAGTAAAAACTTATTAGGGTACCAAATTTTAGGAAGTTTCCCCAGGCCATTATAATACTATATGTCGAAGTTGCTTTGTAGTCGCTTCAGATAATCATTAAAATGCTGAGTCAGCATTATTTTAACTGACAATATCTCTGGAACCCTTGTATATTTTTAACTAAAATTTTTGCAGTTATTTTTTTTAATATGGACTGCAAGTAAGGTAAAAATGAACAAATTTTAAGACGTAAGGGTGTCATGGTCTGGATGATTTCATATGGAATGACCCTAGCAAATTTATATATTTAGCAATCGATTATATACATATTGTTTCCAAAAAAAAATCATTAGTAAATAATAATCCCAGAAGACTTAAAAAAGAGGACTTAGTAAGAGAGTTGCCATTCATTAATATACGAATGTCGACCATGTTGCGATTGCAGTAAATAACTGAGTTTTGTTGGAGTTAAATTTACAAGCCACTATGAGCCCTAATCTATTACAGAATGGAGATCAGATTCAAGATTGGCTGCCTATTCTAAGTAATCAAAAAGACTTTTTGTCAAGACAGGAGTATAAAGTTGAGTCATCAGCAAAAAGAGCTTTTTTAGAGAATCTAGATGAGAAACAAAACAGGACCAAAGATAGAACATTGAGGTACCCCAGAAGTTACTGGAAATAAAGAAGAGTGTTGGCCTTCAAGGATAACTTTAATAAAGTGTTTAGAAAAAAATGATTTGATAATCTTAAAAACTTTCCCAGATACACCATATGAACCAAACATACCGAAAAGAATAGCATGCTAAACTTTGTCACAAGCTTCAGATACATTGAAGATACATCGAATATACATCAAAGATACATTGAACATACATTGAATATACATTGAACATACATTGAAGATACATCGAATAGCCCTAGCCTCACTGCCTTCATCTAATGCACAATAAAATCTTACAATCACAGCAGTTAAAAAGTCAGCTGGAGAGCAAGAGGAGCAATTAACATCCTGTTAGAAGTATGACATTGTTTACAGTTAAGGAAAACAAAATATTTCCATTGACACTTTTTCTAGAATACATAAATCAAACTGTCATCCTAAAGTAACTAGATTTTATGCTTTTATTAAATATCGTAATTTACTTTTCTCAGTTGATAGTGCTAAACTAATAACTAAACAGTGCAAATTATTTTGCAAATGTAAACCAAAATACCGCAAACCATTTTGTGAATGTAAGCCAAAATACCACAACCCAATTTGATAAAGGGAGGTTTTGTAGACAGATTGTAAATATAGATTTTAAAGGACCTCTTCCTTCAGTTAGTATTTTTTAGCCATAATTGATGACTATTCTCGTTTTCCATTACCCTGATATTTCATCTCAGTCTTTAACCAAATGTTTATCTGAAATATTCTTAATTTTTTGTTGCCAAGTTATCCATTCCAATAAAGGTTCAGCTTTTAACTGTCTTTTCAAGCTTTTCAACCGTCACTTCAAGCTTTTCAACCTTAATCGTCACCAGCAGAAAATCTTGTCAATAATACTTGTCTGATAGATCCATTGTTATCAAAAACACTTGGATACATGTAGATTCTCAAGAGTAAGCTGTTGACCATTCAGGTTAATAGAAAAACATATGTGAAGCATTTTGTTTAACTAATTTGAACTAAGTTATTTTATGGCTCCAAAGAAAATTGAGATTATTTTCTTTGTTTATTTAAGATTAGAAATAAAAATTGAAGTCTTAGTACAAGTCTTACAACAATAAAGTATAAATTGCTATTTAATGCAAAAGGTAAAACTGTTTTAGAAATATACTGCATAATAAAAAAAATATTTATCAGCTATATGCAGATAATACAACACTTTTGTATGCAGATGAGATATGGATTGATTTACTTAACAACAAAAAATAATAACATGGTGTTTCATTATTGTAACTTTTACAAATATAATTTTACTGTTTTTAATACACAAATAGCATTTTTAACTTATTGTTGACCTTTTAGGTCCAACATAACAATGGGAAAAAGACTTGGTAGCTAGAGAAACTTATCTATAAAAGAAAAGGCATCATTAGAAAAACCAGCCCAAATATAACAACAGTATTCTATAAAAGGACAAATAAGAGACAAGGATTAGTGTTTCATTATTGGAATTTTTTAAAAATAGAAATTTACTATTTTTAATATGCTAATAGTATTTTGAACTTTTTGTTGAGTATTTAGGTCCAACACAACAAAGGAAAATAGGATTGGTAGCTATAGTAGGCCCTAGTATATTTACAAAATGTTTTTTAACATGTCTATAAAAGAAAGGGCATCATTAGAAAGATGTATTCGTATAACAGTGTTCTATACAAGGGCAATAAAAGACTTAAAGTGGCAGAGAATGAAACCAAAAATAAAAAAATAGAGAGCATAACAATAGAGAAATAGAGAGATAGAGAAATAGAACAACCCAGAAATAATATAACATAGGTAAATGCTAACTTTACAATGGATTGTATTTATGGTTTACAAAAGAAGTTGTGAAAGATAATCCAAAAAGATAACAAAATTAAAGATGTAAAATTGAGTCTCAGTATAAGTGTTACCATTAATCAATATAGAAATATAAACAATATTGCAATAACTGTTAGAAATAAATAACAGAGTATTGCTTAGGTTAAAATTCATTACCCGCTGCAAGCCCCAAGCTTACACAAAATGAGATCAAATTTAAGAACTGTTACTTGTAATGATTACTTGTAATTAATGATTGCAATTAAAAATTGTAGCTGCAATTTTTAATTTTAATAAGAAAATCATAAAAGGAATCTTAACCAGCTGAAAATAGTTGTATCTGAATTAAAATAAAATCTCAATCTGATCTTTTTGATAAAAAATTTAAATTAAATATACTTGCTTGTTTTTCAATTGCATTTAATAGGTCATCTCTAATGCACCAGAGAACTGAATTAATGGTTTTCAAGTCTCTTTATATATATACTTTTAACAAAATTTAAAATCAACTAGTTCTAACTTGCCTTGTTTGCAGTTCTAAAATTCTTTAGAACTTTTTAACTTCTACATAAATGTAAATAAATCTTTTTTATTAATTCTTTAAATGTAGATCAGCATGTATTAAAAGAAGTAAAACTACAAAAAAATTCAAAATAAAAATCAAAAATATTAAAGCTCAAATTTAAAATAAAAAATATACAATTATTTTTGACTGTTAGCAGAAGCTTCACAAATAATTCCAAGACATAATCCTGGTTTTATTCCAAGACATAATAATGGTTATATAAAGATTCTATGTTTTATTCTATGACATTCTTTAACACTAAATATTATATTAACAATTTCATATTTTTGAACATTTTACTTTTCATAATACAATTATATTTATATATTAAAACTATTTGCAGATACTAAAATATATATTAAAATAATTTGCAGATATTATTATTCAATTCAATTTAAAAATATTTGTTTAACTTAACTACTTTCTACAGTTACTAGATTGTTTTTGCCATTTTTAACTTTTCAATTTACAAATTTAACAAAAACAAAAATGAAACTAAACATGCAATATATATTCATCTAATTATAAAAAAACTTTACCCAAAAAACTTTTTACCTCTGCACAAAAAATCTTTTGGTTCAAAACCTTCTTTGCATATACACTTTCCATAAACCTGATAGTCTCCATTTGAAAAACATTCCATATAACTTTTAATGTTGTTTTCAAAGAATCCATTAATACATTCTCCATCAATCCTCAACGGAGAATTATATTCATGAGGAGATGCTCTTTTCGGAAAAGTAACCAGTACATCAGTTGTGGTTGGACAAACATAATAATATATTTTAATATCAATTATTACCCCACAGTAATTACTAGCTCGAATTGCTACCTGAACTACATCAGTATTTTTAAAATTATTAAATGAAAAAAGATCCTTAGTTAAATAAAATTCTTCATTCCCCTGTTGTTTTTTAATTTCACGTGGAATCACTTCTGTTTTATATAGATTTATAGGTGCTTTTTCATCTGGTGGTCCAAAGTATATTGCCAACTCCATAGCTGAATTACAATTTTGAACTGAAGTTTTACAGAAGGAATTTTTGAGTTCAACACTAACAAAAATAGTGTTCACATCTTTGAATGTACTTAAGTTATAACTATTAGACTTAAGTAAACAATTCTGGTTAGTTTTATTTGAACCATAACATGTTTGCCAAAAAGATTTTGTATACTCCCAAGAACCAGCGCAAGTACTAGATTCATTATATGGTTCTTTATACCACGATTTTGATACTGTAATGAAACCTGAAGTGTCTGTTAAAAACACTTTTTCAGCTATTTTGCAATTTAAAAGAGAGATTTTTAACATTAACATCCAAAATAAATGCATGCTGGTAATACATTTCTGAAAATAAAGTTAAATTAATTATATAAAAGTTATATTGATTTATTAACAATTTACTCATAACAATTATATCACACTTTATACTCTTCCTTTTGTCTGTAGGTGTCTTTAATGATAATTTTTTTTTTTTTTTTTTTGGTTCTTTTTTTAAAAAAAAAGTTCAGCATTTCAATTACTTTAAAATACTTATCTGTGAGGGCCTTAATACATATATCAACTTAGGGTTTGAATTCAGCATAAACAAAAACCTTTTTTTTTTGAATTTTATACTTTTAATTGGTGTATATGAATACTACACTGGACCACATCCGATCACACCGGACCACACCAGAGTATAAAAAACAATTTTGGTAGAGCGAAACATACGTAAGTTATATTTGTGATACATATATTCAATAAAAAATTAAAAAAAAAAACTAAAATTAAATTAAAAATAGCAACAGGGGCTGTGTTTCATGCTGCGACTGACTAACATATGAACAGATGCAGTAGAGTATGCATACATCGACTGAATAAAATAGGGACAGGCGCAGTAGAGTGTCCATACACTGACTGACTAAAATAGGTACAGGCGCAGTGGAGTGTACATGTCGGTGCAAAGGGTTTTTGGTTAGGGCAAGCAGTCTAAAAGAATAGCTTATAATCTTGTAAAAAAGCCTACCACTCTGCTTAAATCAAAACACATATTTATGAAAATTACTTCTTTTTTTAAAAAAATCAAAAACATTAATATGTGATAGGGGTGCGTGCGCGTGAATGAAATACACAAATGCAATAAAATTCTGACTAAAATACATATTTTTACTTGTGGGTGCATAATTAAAATTGATATAAAATTTAAATTATTCAATTTTTTTTTTGTGTGTGTAAATTTTTATTGCATTTATATATTACAAATGTAATTTATGCATATTTCGCTCTACTAAGATTGTTTTTTACACTCCAGTGTGGTCCAGTGTAGTCGGGTGTGGTCTAGTGTAGCCCGGTGCAGTATTCATATACACCCAGTTTTCTTTATTATTATCTTTATTACTCTTGATGTTTTTGATACTTTTTATCAATTTTTTTCTTATAACTAAAACAATTAAAACTGTCTTAATAATATTAATATGAAATAAATAATGAATTATTTAAGATGTTATTTATGTATGCTGTAAATAAATAATGATCTTTCGAATAAAAAAAAAATTATTCATATGATATATCGTATGAATAAAAAAAAAAAGAATTTTTACCATTTTGTTATTAACTTTAAACTCCTTTTAATGATATTTAAATTAAATATCATTTGTGATATATATTGTGATGCTTGCGAAATATCACTGCATAATTATTGTGTTGTTAAATTTTAACAACACAATAATTAAACAGTCTGAACCACACACCTACTAAAAAATACAGTGTGTTTATTAGTAGTTGAACTGTTTAATTATCATGTTAATAAATATGATTAAAGGAGTTTAAAATTAATAATTAATAAAATGGTGACAATGTCATATGAATCTGACAATTCTACAAGAAGATTTATGATCATTTAAAAAATAAATTTGGTTTCACTGACTTCCTGAGAAAACTGCGTTAGACCTTTACTCCTATTTTGATGCAGTCCTCCAGGTCCGCAAACATTTTCGACTTATCTCAAAATATAACTGGATGGTGGTATACAGCTAATTTTTTGAAGCCAGTTTTGGCCTTCCCAGATGGCGGCGTATTTGGTTGAATACAAATTTAGAAATTTTTGTTACGAACTTTTATATTTTTTTCATATAAAAATAAATGTACAAGCCTCAACCGAATACGCAAGTTTTGGTTTTCCATAGCAATTGTTTTAGAAAGAAACAAAATAATACATATTTACGTACATTTCTAAAATATATAAAATATTTTGTTTAACAATAATCTACTCAAACAATATTACTAATAAATATTATACTCTTATAATATCACTATATATATATATATATATATATATATATATATATATATATATATATATATATATATATATATATATATATATATTATATATATATATATATATATATATATATATATATATATATATATATATATATATATATTACTAATACATGTATCACAATATATGTTACTAATAAATATTATCCTTAAATAATGTATATTGCAATAAATATTATACTATTAATAATTTACTGAAACAATAAGTCAATATCTTTCTTTTTTTTTAATTTAATTAAATAAGATAAAATTTTTTAGTAAATTAATTATAAATTAGTTTATTTAACATTAATAAAGAATTAAACCTATAACCTAGTAGGTAACTACTTGGTTCCACTAATATTTCATAACTAGTTATAACCTATCAGTAGATATAAAAAGCAAATACGAACCTAGTAGTTATCCAATTTATCAATTTCCAAACAACTTTCTAATAATTATTTTAAATGTGAAAAACTGAAATAGTTTTAATCATTTTATATTTATATTTCATTTATTTACTTTCTTTTAATTTTAGTTTTATAATAAATTATTTGTTTGTTATTGTTTTTTGTACAAATTTTTGTACCTTTTAGTTCTTAACTACCCAATGCTGTGTGCTAGAAGGTTAATAACACAACTGCATGGTAGGCAGCTGAATATCTTTTTAAAATAAACTATTATAAATTAGTTTTTCAACAAATTTATAAATGCTGCATGAACTGTTAGCTGAGCTCTCTGAGTACACACAACTCAGGGGTTCCTTCTAGAATTTTTTTTATATATATCTATATGTACTTTATTTTTTATTTGGTTGTACTTTACTCTATATATATATATATATATATATATATATATATATATATATATATATATATATATATATATATATATATATATATATATATATATATATATATATATATATATATATATATATATATATATATATATGTATATATGTATATATGTATATATATATATATATATATATATATATATATATATATATATATATATATATATATATATATATATATATATATATATATAATGCAGATATTTTTTTTTTTGATGCCATTTTAGCTAAATATCTGGCAATATATGAGCTTTTTTGTATTTAGATAAAAAGCTGCAAATTTGGAGTATTTGCATATTTGTGGTCACTATTAGTTGGTTTTCTCTTTAACAAATCATAATTTTTTGTTAATTCAATTTTAGTCAGATATTTTAGTACTGGAGTGAGCAAAATAATTGTCTAAAATTTTTGAAATATGAGTTTTATCTCTGATGCTGCAGTTTCCATTTAAAAATTGAACCCTAATTCACATCAAGAGTTGTTTAATGTGGCTGTAAACTGTTGGCAATTGATACTGTTGTTAAACATTCTTGCAGATCTTACAGCTAAATAAGATCTCACAGCATAATTAAGAACTTGTTAGATGGTTTTGACTGAGCTTATTTGTTAAATAATTCTATAGCGAACCTTCTTTTTCTACTCAGTTGAGATATGTATTTTATTTGCTACCGAATATCCAATGAAACCAGTTTTTAGACTAGAAAAATTCATTTGCGTAACAGTTAATCTCTTTAAGACTAATGATATAATTATATACCATGTCGAGAAATAGAAAACAAAAAGCATTGCTGCAAATAGGTTTTGTGAATAAAATATGTGATGAAATCACATATTAAATTCAGTCTTTTATGCAACTTAACTCAACATCATAAAGTTAAATAATTATATTTATATAATTATTTAACTGCAACATACAGTTTAATAATATAAAAAAGTCCGCCTTTATATAAACTATAACATATAACCATAATACTTAACAGCAGGTAAACAGTATATATAACTTTAATTAATGAGATATTTCAAAAAGGTGTTTTCTATATTTAAAATTTAATAAATTTGTTTTTTCAAACAACTGTTATTTTGAGGATGTATGCAAAATATGTTGCATATATCCTCAATTCTATTGAGTGATTATCCTTTAAATTATAAGAAATTATTATTTACTTTTTATTATTTTTTAAAGTTGATGTAACTATAATTCAGACCTGTTTTTTTTTACCAGCTTTAGAATGTTTTATTCAACTAATTTATGCAATAATAGAATTTAAATATAATTGTAGAAGGAACCCCTGAGTTTGTATACGCCTGTATACTGACAGCACTCAGTTAATAGTTCATGCACCATTTGTACAAAATGGTATCTTGCTACAAAAAATAGAGAATATAAAATTGTAGGTAGAGATGATTGCTGCTTAACCTTCTTGCATACAGCATTGGGTAACTTCGAACTAAAAGGTACATAAATTATATACAAAATTTAACTAAAATTGTAAATGCCATTTAATAATAAATTGAATTGTTCAAAAAATAATTTCTTTTTTTTTCTCTAATATTTATAAAATTCATTTGTTTTCTTTTATCTTGAACAAATTTATTAGCAATATTTAATTATTTTCTTTCGTAGTTTGATAAAGCCATATAAAATCTATATTGGTTTCACCGCTAGGAACTTAAATTGTCGCCATCTTGGGAGGCCAATTTTGGCTTCAATTGTTTTCGGAAAAAACAATAGAATCCGCTATCGTTATATTTTGAGATCAGTGATCCAAACGCCAAAAGACTACATCCGAATCCTATTAACCACTCGGTCTAGTTAAGGCGATTTACAAAATATTTGAATACTTTTATTTGGAATTAGCATGGTTTTGTTAGCATATTATGCCCAAACTAGATCTTTAAATGTTATAATTTTTTTTTGCTTAAGGTTTTTATAATATTTAACGAAATTTTTGTTTTTTATATATAATTTTTAAAATCTTTTAACAACCCGTAATAATGTATCTAAAGAACACTATTTTGGAGTCTTTAGATCAATTTCACTCATCGACATTATCATGAATTTAGTTAAAATCTTTTTAAAAAGTTACTTAATTTACTACTGATCCTAGTTCTAATCGGTTCTGACGTATATTAACTATATATAGTTGTCAAAACACAATATTTCTATCAA